TATTAAGCTTAGACCTCTCATCCTTTGGAATGTGGACAAAGGCTCGGTAACTAAATACTCTCAAGTGCTCATAAGACACATCTTTGTTGGTTCAAGCTCTTTCTAGAACGTCATCAATAGTCAAGAAAAACACATTGTCTTGACTTGCTATTAAGCTTAGACCTCTCATCATTTGGAATGTGGACAAAGGCTTGGCAACCAAATACTCTCAAGTGCTCATAAGACACATCTTTGTCGGTTCAAGCTCTTTTTAGAACGTCACCATTCAAAGGATAAGAAGGAGACAAATTGATGACTTCAATTGCTGTCCTCATTGCCTCACCCCAAAAGAATCTTGGCAATTTAGCATATGAAAGCAGACACCTTATTCTTTTCACAGCGGTTCATCCTCTCGGCAACGCCATTTTGTTAAGTCTTCTTAATTGTCTTTTGGTGCCGAATACTTTGGCTGCGACATTACTCATCAAATGGCCCAATGTATTAATCACCATTGTCTATTTGGATGCACTTCAATTTTATGCCTTGTTTCTCTTTCAAGCATGGCCTGAAAATGCTTAAATACATTTAGAACTTGATTTTTAGTTTTTAGTGCAAAAACCCAAACTTTCCTTGAATAATCATTAATGAAAGTAACAAAATAAAGTGTACCACTATGTGTTTTAACTTCAAAAGATTACAAACATCCAAATGAATCAACTCTAAAACATTTTCTTTTCTAGAAGTAACAGTTTTATGAAAAGAAACTCTATATTGTTTGCCTGCCAAGAAATGAACACAAGTTTTAAGATGCGTACCTTTCAAATCGGGTATAAGCTCTTTCTTGAACAAAACTTGCAACCTCTTTTCACTCATGTGCCCAAGCCGCTTATGCTACAATTCGGTAGAAGTATCATCTTTAAGTACATTGACAACACCTTTACAAATTTTTCTTTGCGTCGAATAAAGTGTATGAGTCTTCTTGCACTTAGCTATGACCAAAAAACCCTTTGTGAGCTTCCATTTTCCATCACCAAATTTGTTGTTGTAGCTTTCATCATCTAGCTTTCCGGTAAAGATCAAATTGAAGCGAATGTCGGGAACATACCTCACATCTTTAAGCAACAACTTGCAATCTAAATTTGTTTCCAAGCAAACATCAGCCATGCCAACAATCTCCCTCCTCAATGATGTTGTTGAGGATCTTTATTTATTTATTTATTCAGTTTTTGAGTTTCTAAATAACTGTATTAATGTCGATTCTTATGTACCCTTCTGCTCAGAGAAAGAAGGAATTGGAAAAGAAGTCAGTGTTTCTGAGAATTTTGATTTATTTAAATAAGAATTAGCCAACCCAATTAAACCAAAAAACCAAATATAGGAGAAATTGAAGAAATGAAAATGAAATTTGAACATTTTTATGTACTAATTAAACAAAAAAACTCATCTCCATCTGCCCGAAATAGTCTTCACTATGTTCAATTACTTGGAGTTTTAGTCTTCTTTAAAAACTCTTCTTCCTCAAGCCAAATAGTTTTCACTAGGCTCAATGGATTTTAGTTTCCTTGGGTCTTTGCTAAGTGAAAAATCTAGGTCCACATTTGTATGCCTTTTCTTTTCCTACATTTTCCTTCAAGCCAAGCAGAGTTTCTTTTCTTCTGAATTTTGATTCCTTTATCTATTCATACATTTTAATGCCTCTAAAGTGGGATATCAATTCTTTACTTCTTATTTTGTTCTTGTCTGTCTTATTCTCTCAACAACCAAAAAGAACATAATCAATTACTCTTTGGCTTTGTTTGGTCTACAGGATTAATAGTGAAATGATTAATAATCCCATGAATTAGTGTAAGATTAGTTATCCAATTAAATTAGTGAGATAATCATTTATTATGTATTCATTTTTTTTTCTTTCATTCTTGAAATTATGATCCCGGCCTCTCTCACTATTTAAAATTCACGAATTTTGTTGAATTGAATGTCCATCGTACATGTAATCCGGTTAATGAAATTTGCAATCAAACATATGATTGTGAGTCCATGGACTAACAATCTCAATCTTATATTATAATCCTACTAATCAAACATGCCCTTTAGTCGTTGAAATCCCTAAGCACTCACTTCAATTAAAATCTATTTCTTTGCATATTAATGTATTACATTCTATGTTAAAATCCTCTAGCCCACTATGGAATTCAATGCATTCACTGAGGACGATAGACCTGACAAAACCGTGGATTGCATTGAGAGGCAAATCTGGAGAAAACAAAACTATAAAAATTGAGGCTTCATTTCACTTGATCTAGCATTATCATTATCACAATCACATATGTAATGTTTTACTTTTTCAATGAGTTGTTAATACCATTCTCCCCTTTTACGTGGACCTTTTAGTTTGAATTATTTCCGTTTGGTTGTGTTTTGAAAACATAATTCTACACCTACATTTGAATATCATGTTTAGTAGGAGTTTTGGAATCAGTTTTCCAAAACTCTGCAGAGAGCTCTGTCTCAGGCGCGTTTTTTAGAATTTTTTTTTTTTGCAAATTTTGCCTAACCGGTCATCGGGCCGGTTGTCCGGAATAGTGAATTTTTTTTTATAATTTATTTATTTATTTATTTTTTGCAATTGATATGTTAATTTTTATATAATCGAAAAAAATATTTTCTGAATTTTTTAAAATTTTTTATGTGCTTTAAAATAATTTTGAGTTATATGTTTGGTTATGAGTTGTAAATTTTTGTATCAAATATCAAATGTCACATCAACAATTCTCCACTCAAATCAAACTCTTTTCAAAACTATTTTCAAAACTCTTTACTAAATAAATTTTCCACACTCAAATCATAATTTCAAACCTTACAAACTCAAAATACAACCCGTACTCTCAAATCATAATTACAAAACTCTACCAAACGCAACCTAGTTTTTGGCTGATGACAAACTGAGTTGATTTTTATTTCTTGTTGAAATATTTCAACACTAACTCATTAAATTTTCTTCTTGTTCATCTCAGTATAAAGCTTTCAATAAATATGCATATATATTTTTTTCCAACTCAATTCTACTTCAAATTAAATTGAGAACCCAATTTGAGGCTGATTGAGGGCAATGAGGAAGCTAGTCTCTGACTAATAAAATTTTAGATTTTAGGAATTGTTTGAATACTTTTGATCTTTTTATGGTTTACTGGTTGGGCCAATTTCATGACAGTCCTTGTTTACTTTATTTTTTCATGACTTCTTCCTAATCAAAACATAAATGTGTGTCAGTCTGCAATCTTGTGGTTTGATCAAGATTGAGTTTGTTTTTTTTATTTGGTTATTTTCAGGGATTTGGATAATAAACTTCAGAATGCACTTTTTGAGTTCTTCTGTTTTCTTGCATGAATTTATGATGAACAATGATAGAATTGAGATTATTCAATGGTTCAGATACATTTCATGGCTTTGTTTGGTTGAGTTTTTTGAATATGTTCCCCGAAAAATTTCAAAAACTAGTTCAGGAAGAAAAAAAACTCATTTATATGGTTCTCTTTTTTGAGGCGTAAATAACTTTTGAAAATTCAAAAACTTTTTTTTGGGTGTTTATTATTGTCAAACTAGTTTTTTTTTTGTTTTTGTTTTTGTTATTTAATTCAGAAAACAAAGTTTTTAAAGCTCAACCAAACATAAGTCTTTTGTGGAGAAATGGGGGACTATATATATTATTCCCTCCACCATACTAGGCGTTGTATTTTCAACTTCTACATTGATTACAAAAAGTTTTGCTCTCTGCTCAAGCATGCATATAGTTTAGTATGTTTGAGGTGTAAATACTAAAAACCATGTAAACACTTGAGAACAGAATGAAGAACCAAATAAACTATTAGAAGAGTTTTTTGAGCCCCTTCAGCACATTATGACTCATGTTACTGAATTTTGTAGCTGTGCCAAAGTCTGGAGCCATGAACTTCTGACCTCAGTTCCTGGAATTGATAATCTCTCTAAAATTCCAAGTCCACATGCTTGTATCAAAATAAAGTCATTTCCTCATGAGACTAAATAATGTCTTTTGGCTTGGGTCTTGACTTGAACTGAATTCCCTAAAGGCTGGATCATTTCCTGTCATTGAGATAAAATGTTGAGTTGGTGGTAGAATTTGCAAGAGGAGGAACACCATATTGTACAAGGCACATAAATCTATAAAATCTGCGGATTGCATTATGTTTGAAATATTTTTTTTTAACATAGCAAGTGGATAGCAATCCATTAACAGGGGCAGCATTATGCTGTTTCATGTAGCTATCAATTTTTAAAGAAGCATCAGTTGAAAAGGCCTTATGTTTGCGCATCGTAAATTCCAGAGGTGTGCTACCGTGCTAGATTACCCGAAAAATAATCAGACAATGCCATCTGAACGAGGAACGAGAAACAGTCCTGAGGAAATTTTAGGCGTGATAAACGTGAATCTGGTCTCACAGAACCGATGAGCAAAAATCTAATAATTCATGCCTGCTGCTCTTTTTTTTTTTTTTTACCAGGCTTGTGTGCATGTTTATTAGTTAATGAGAGTATGAATCTTTCTACTATAGGAATACTTGTGTCTGGTTGAGCATTAGTTAGGCTATTGAGATGCTGGAGAGCAATTGAAATGTCATGCAAAGTCTGCAACTTGATTTATTTAACCTTCTTTTTTTTTTCTTTTTCTTTTTCTTTTTCATGCAGCTAAGAAGTTTGCCTTCCTGCTGTTTAGCACCCAATCAGTCGTCCTTCGATAATCAAGTCAAACAACGACAATGATGAGAAGAGAGCTGGGACAACAGATAATTATTCTCGTAAATGTGTCTGTTTAATTATATTTGACAGATTTTTAGAGTTATAAATTTTTGAATACTTTGAATTCCTCTGTAACTGTGATGCCATATGCCATTTGTCTTAATAATCCCGGTCTTTTTTATATTCAGAGTTCTAATATTATTTTTAATTATAATAAAAACATGTTGGGATGAGACTAGTATGCCAAGTTGAGAATAAGTTATTCATTGTCATACAAGCAGGAACACAATTTTTATTACTGAACAAAAGCTATAATAGTTCAACCATCATGACAACATGTAACTTGGGGAGACAACGTAGAAGAACCTGCAAATAGAAGGAATATTTAAAACCCCTATGTAGAGCCAGTAAACCACACAGTAGACCTATTTCTTGTTTGTCTTATGATTAGCCACAAATGGTGCAGCTAGCTGCTTAAAACCCAGTTTATACATCTTCAGCCTTCAGTCAGCGGGCAACCTACCTCAAGGTGGCTTGCTGCTCATCGTGAGAACCCTCCCTTTGTCAATCACCGAAATTTTATCTGATTCATGTTCATTACTATTCCGCCAAGTCTCCTGCAGTTGCAGTGCATACCGGAGGTTACCCAATGCATCATCCATCGGTAGACGCTCAATCCCCTCATCGCACACGCAATTTTCAGCATTCTTGACATATTCTTTCAAACATTCTGGTGCTATTTTGTCAGTTAGATACGGATCAATGATCTGATCGATGGTACCCATTTCGATATTAGTTTTGAACCAGCGAACTAAATTCACTTGATCCTCGTCCCTTGAATAGATCATTGGCTTCCTACCACACAATAGTTCAAGTAAGATGACACCAAATGAGTACACATTGGATTTTGTAGTTAATCTAGCACTGTGAAGGTATTCTGGATACATATATCCCACGGTGCATGTACTTGATTCAGTGTCGACTGCCACTTTCACATTCCAATTCTCGTCCAACAGAATACTGGCCAGCTTTAGGTTGCGATGAATGATTGTTTGCCTTGCACCTGCATGGAGGTATTGCAGTCCTCGTGCAACACCAATGCAAAACTCAAGCCGCTTTTCCCAGTTAAGTGAATACTTGTTGGTTTCATAGAGGTGATGGTAGAGAGACCCATGGACCATAAACTCGTAGACAAGGATCACTTCATGCTTATCGATGCAGTATCCAATTAAAGAAACAATGTGGCGGTGACGGAGATGGGAGTGCACCTGGATCTGAGCTCTAAATTCGTCCAAGATCCTCTCTCTTGATGTTCCTTCTTTCCACCTTTTAATTGCCACTTGATGATTCTGTTGCTGATATGGCCTCTATACACTTTGCTGTCACGACTAAGTGCGACCACCAGAAGCTCATGAAAATTATTTGTAGCAGCTCGAATCTCTGCAAGAGAGAAACGATGGTATAATTGGATGATACCATCTGCAATTGGATCGCTACACAACTGCCACGACATGCCATTCTTAGGAACCTTGTTCTTCCATTTCCTCCACCCAAGATCAATACCTTTAGCCACCACATGTGCAGTACTAAAAAATAGATTGCTTACTATTCCCTTTTGTCGAGATAAATGGACATTGTCCTGTGATGCCAATCCATGCATGAGGCTCCCCACAACTTCAATCATTGTAGGCCTTCCTTCTGGATAAGTATGTAAACATTTGTCAGCAACTTCTACAAACACGTTTAGACAATTTGGTGATATTTGTCCTCTTATGGAGGGATCAATGATCTGGTCAAGGGTGCCCTTTTTGATGCATTTTTGAGCCCATAGGGCTAAACCAATTTGCTCCTCCTCCTCAACACTTGTATCAACACTTGTATCCACCGGTGGCCTTGCACATAACACTTCAAATAGAACCACACCAAAAGCATACACATCTGATTTCTTGGTTAGTCTATGAGTCAAGAAATACGCTGGATCTAAATAACCAAATGTGCCTTTAACATTTGTACTAACGTGGGTTTGTGTATGGGCTGTCCTTACCATTTTTGACAATCCAAAATCTGAAATCTTAGCTACCCAATTCTCGTCCAACAGAATGTTTGTGGTCTTCACGTCCCTGTGTATGACACCTTGCTCAGTATTCGTATGAAGGTAGTCCAATCCACGGGCAGCACCAATACAAATCTTGAGCCTCTCCTCCCAAGTAAGATGATAAATATCGTTCCCGTTTCCTTTCCTACTATTTTCGTAGAGATGATCGGCGAGCGTCCCATTGACCATGTATTCATAAACGAGTATCATCTCATCGCAATCATCAGAGTAGCCAATCAGGGTCACGAGATGTCTGTGGCGGAGCTTGGAAAGCATCTTGATCTCAGTCCAAAACTCTCTTGCCCCTTGTTTGGACTCTGCATTCGACCGCTTAATGGCGACAGTGGTAGCTCCACCGTCGATGAACCCTTTATACACCTTACCGAATCCGCCTTTCCCAATGACCAAAGCATTATCGAAGTTGTTGGTCGCTGATTGAATCTCAACAAGTGAAAACCAACGGCACAATTCCTTGGATTGATACACACCGTTTGTAATTGTATTCCCACTGTCAAAAGTTGACATATTAGATATGAAATCACTTTTTAAAATGAGATGATGAAGGAAGCTAACGAGTGGAGGGATTAGATAAGACAATGAAGATCACAAAAATGAAGAAATGATACTCAAATTGGCTACCTCCTCAGATCAACAATGGTGGGCTGTGGTCCAAGACAAAAAGTAAACCATCCAATAACTGTATTGGAAGACTCTGCTAGTCAAAGTAAACAGCCAAGATTTTTTTATTTTTAAAATTTTTTTAAATTATTGATGAAACCAATCGGACGAAAGGATAATACATCAATAAAGTAAACTGCAAAGATGACTGAACAACCGACAATCCAAGAGTACTACATATTTGTATCCATAAATTTATTTATTTATAGTTTTTTGTATAGTTTTTCAACATTATATGCCTACTCTTCTCCAAAACTCAGATGTATAAGCCTCAATCATGTCAATTTTAGTAGAATGATTTTTAACCTAATAACAATCACAAATTAAAGTCCGGAGACAAAAAACTAGGTATGAAATCACTTTTTAGAATACGTTAATTGTACAAAGTGTTATTGCTATATTTTTAGCAATGAAATTAGACATTTAATAATGACACCAAAATTTTTATCTTAAAAATTAAATTTTTTGGGTCCCAATTGTTTTGTGCCCAAAAGTACATTTATTAATAGCATTTTCAAAATTTTGTTGCTGAAGTTTTTTTTCTCTTCCTTTAATTGAAGCGATTTTTTGAGATAACTTTTTAATGATGACTCACATGACAACAAAAAGTGATTTTCTAATATTTTTTTTGTAACAAATTTTTATTTTTATGAAAAATGTTGGTTCCTAAAACATTTGGGAAGGTGGGTTGGAGGTTTTTTTGGCTATTTTAGCCACAAAAAACAAAATAGGCTATTTTAGCCATAACAAACAAAACATCACATCCAACCCATAATCATTACATTCTTCTCTCACAAAAAAACTCAAAAAAGCCAAAAAGCCAAAAAGTCCTTCCCAAACCAAGCTTTTAAGCCCAGGCTAAAATAGCCAAAAAAGCCAAAAAGCCAAAAAGCCAACCCACTTCCCAAACGGAGGCGTAGTGAATCTACACAGTTCGGATTTAATTTTACATGATCAATGAAAAGAGTAACTTTTAGCCAAGTAAATTGCTATTTTAGAATAATTAAAAACATTTCCAATAATTGTTGATTATTATATTTCCCACCATAAATTATTTGGCAACAGCGCTAGGGTTTACACTGATAGTGGGATTTTTTTTTTTAAAAAAAAACTAATGATAGTAATATATATGTGTTGGCTGTATAAATTGTAAAAGCCAATCACAATTCAACATGTGGCATGAAGGGGGTAATTTAGGAAGTTAATACAAGTTGTCAAACGAAGTCAGACACGTGTCAGCCCGTATTGATAATAATGAATCTACGTAGCATTGGAACAGTCAAGGGATATAAGGTGATGTGGCCTAACAATTACTCACAAAGTTCAAATTCAAAATCAAGAGGGAAGCCTAACTACAAATGTGGCGTAGTGTGACTGACTGTGAGAGAGCATGTTCAGCAATCATGGGAGAACATTTCAACGGTTAGAAGCCTACTTTGACGGTTATCATTGAAAAGTATAAATAGCAAAGAAGACCCCAGAATGAAGGATCTAGACTTAGATAAAAAAAACCAGTTTTATTTATTTTGTTTTCCCTTCCAGTTTTTACAGTTCTTTACATTTTTGTACTTCAAATTCCTTTACTGCACTTCATTCATAGTAGTAGTTTCAAATAGCTTATTGTTGTAAACCTCTACGAGACTGGGTCAAATCATTGTAAGTTTTTCATTTTAATTAATGAAATTCTGAAATTATTCTTCACTTAATTGTTATTTACTAAATTCTTCTAAACAAGCCACCAGTAAAAGTCCTCTTCATTGAGGTTGAAAGAACTAAAACACAATCGTCTGATAATTGGTTGACAATTAATCTTCTGTAAGGACTGATAGATCCTTGTTGGCACGCTTAAAATTACAAAATTAACCTTCGAAAGCCAAAAAAAACCAACATATATTTTTGGCACGCCCAGTGGGATTAATTGAAATGGCTAGACATAGGAGACAGGGAGAAAATGAACGCCTAGAAGAAGGTGTGGAAGGAGAGGCAGAGGTACCTAATACAGAGGATAATGTGATAACACATCCTATGGAAGCACTTATCTCATCAAAACCTATGGTCGAATAGACTAGTAATTCAGAACATGCACCACATGTTCAAAATATTGGATAAGGCCATGGAATTGGACCATCCACTGTTTCATATACTCAGCCAATAAATCCATGGGGAGGCCTAGTAGATGCCATGAGGCAGCAGTTAATGAACACAATAGAAAGATGGGCAATATCCTTTATGGATCGGATGAATTCCTATCAACCAACTAACACAAGGCATATGGAGGAAAATTCAAATGTTCCTCAGCAAACATTGGCTAGAGATAAACAGCCTATGCAAAGTAATGGACATACTAATGGTTTGACTAGTAATCAAAATTATGAAAGACCATCACCTATACCTCAGTCTTGGTATGAGCATCTTTCGAGGCCTATGGTAAATCAAAATGCCTCATTACTTAACAGCGAAACCATACAAATTGGTGGATCTGGGCCAACACAAGAAAATGGCATGAAAATGTTTCCAAATCCCATGTTCAAAGCCATACTTGGCACAAGGGGATTCACTAATCCCTTGTTCGAATTCACACCCGGGGGATTGGAAGGGTTTCCTGCGGTTGGAAGAGAAACAACACATGTTCCTTCTATTACAGCACCTTTCGTAGGTCCTTTCCCAGGACAGGCTCAGAGAGGTCAACCATACCCTCAACAGCAGCCAGTACCACAGGGACAACCAATCCCAAATATACCTCCCTATGGACCAAGAGGATCTCAGGCACAAGGTTTTTCACCAAATCCTGTGTTTGTTCCTCCAGTGGTAGTCTAATAAACACAAAATATGGTTCCTAGGGACCAAATTGCTAATATTGTTAGAGAAATGTGTGGACCTATGGATCAGTGGGTTCAAACTCTTGTGTATAGGAAGCCATACCTAGAATGGGTGGATAGGGTCCATAAATACCCAAGGGGGTTTACATTACCAAACTTTGCTTTTTTTTTATGGGAATGAAAACTAGTCAACAGTAGAACACATTGCTAGGTTCGTTGATCAATGTGGTGAATTTACCAATAATGATTACATGAAATTAAAACTTTTTCCAAACTCTCTAACTGGGGCAGCTTTTGTATGGTATATTAACCTTACAGCTGGCTCTATCCAAACTTGGTAGCAAATGGAGGAGGCATTTCCATGGCAGACTTGGCAAGGTTGAGTCAAAGGCCTGATGAGAAGGCTGTTCAATTTATTACTAGATTCAAAAGAGCACGAAACAACTATAGGGTCATTTTACCAGAGCCTAAATTTATGAGATTGGCTCAAAATGATTTAGAGTTTAGGCTTTGAAAGAAGTTCGACTCAACTAAGTTTCGAGACTTAGTGGAATTAACCTATAAGGTGTCTAGATACGAATCATTACTTGAGAAATCGAAGTAATGCATCATATAAGACTTATTATAGAG